AAGAGAGCCCCGACAAATGTTTGCAATCTTCTTGAAAGCTTCGACTGACCAAACATTGGAATGGAAGCCCTACGACCTTCACTACCGTGGCTTTTGAGTGCTTTGGACTATTTGCGCTGGGATTCCAACTTCCTATAATCAAGTTCGGTTTGGATTGGCAAAGCATGGATCTCTTCTTTTGTGCTGGCCATTTCGAGTGAGGCTTTTCTATCTTGGAAAGGATTTTTCCGAGAATGGCTTATTTAGAGAATCCAAAATTGGGTGAAATTTGCTCTTGGGGCAATATTTCAAATGAGATTTTCATATGCTAGCCAACCAAAAAGTGGGTCAATGTGATATTGGAGATGTATCTATCCAAAATAAAAAATTTAAATTTGGCAATGTTCGAAGACTATTGGAGATAAAAGAAATGGTTTTCTTATTATTGATGACTTTTCAGAGAAGTCATGGACAAAGAAGATGATGTTGTTAATTACATTCAAGAATGTCTTGAACATATTAACAACAAAATTGAAGCTATTATAACCAGTATATATACTAGTCGATTATGCTGGATAATAGTAGAGTGCTAAAGTTCAAATCAAGATAGATGGACAAGAATGGAGGTTTTATGAGAGACAAGCTTTAAGAAAGAAGGAAATAGAGTAGGATGGAGAAAGTGTAATTAGGAATATCAAAGATCAATTTGACATTCATATTCAAGATATAAATTTTGATGATTATTAATATTACTCATAAAAGTCAACTCAGCTTGAAAATCATATTGACAATTTAAAAATGGAAATATTGGGCAAAAAGGTTAACTTGTAGAGTCCATTCTTGATGGTGATCATTTTATGTTTAAAAGCCTAATAAGGCAAATTCGATTCAAAGAAATTCTCAGAATACAACCATGAAAATTACAAACAACTGATATCTAAGGGGGTATTCTGTAGTGTGAATGAGAAATTGGTGGGAGTGAATTAATCCAAACCACACCCTGTAACAGAGACCAATCTACACCACACCACAGTCCATATCTATAGTGGCGTTCTGTATTTTTTATTGCATGTATCTCATAGACATTTTATCAATGATATACATAGTTAATCATAAATGTCTAATTTTAAAAAATCAATCAATGAATTAATATTAACCAATAAATGTTAATTTTTTATAAAACAATAGTAAAATAATTAAAAATTTTAAAAATATATTTTAAATATTTAAAAATATTATTTTATTGATAAAAACATTAAAAATTTATAAAAATTAAAAAATTAAGTAAAATAATTAATATTTTAGATCATACAATCGAAAATGCAACTATAGGAATTTCAAAGATAAAACTGAAGGTGTATTTCTGTGTATCTATAGTTTGTCTTAGATCATAGCCTCTGACCCTTGCTCCTTAAAGCATGGGTAAAAAATAAACCATGGACGAGACGTGTCCACGAGTTTGCATCCATAAATAGAGCATAATACCAAAATCCTTTATTGGATAAAGTCGGGGCAGGTCCCCATACATAAAAAAAATACTAACTGAAGAGGGGAAGAAAAAACCGTATTCGAAGACAGTAAACTTAAATGGTGGGCTTTTCCCATCTGACAAGCTTCACACACAAAATGATGACTAAAAGAACCAGAATAAGGTAAACCGAATTTAGAAATAATGTTTTTCACAACTCTTAAGGAGGCATGACCAAGTCATTGATGCCATTCCGACAAGGAAGTTTTCTCTCCAACACAAGGTTCCAAGTTTTCTGTCCTCTACTGAACTACTCCAGGAAACTAATAAAGTCCATTTCTACTGGATCCTCTAAGTAAAATTCTCCCTATATGGTCCTTCAAGACATAAATTTGGATGAAATTTAAAAATTAGATTATTTATCCTTGGTAAATTTACTTACATAAAGCAATTTTTTGGTAAGAGAGGAAACATGAAAAATATTCTTTAGGGTAAACTGATTATCATTGCAAACTTGTAAGTTGTCAACACCTGGCATTATATGATGGGTGGCGCCAGTGTCTGAATACCAAATTGGATCAAATCTAGATCCAACTGTACAGCTATTGCAAAGAACACCACTATGAAAGGCTGCGTGATCTGCTGGATGTGAATTGCTTTCTCCTTGATATGATAAATCAAACCGTTTGTCACACTCCAATGCACCATGGCCTAGTTTGTTACACAATTGACAGACAATGTTATTTTGCTTTGCCACGGCCTTGCCCACGGCCTGAGGGCTAACCTCCATTTCCCCTGCCTCTACCACTATTGCTGCTGCCCCTGTTTTGATTATAGCAATTCTGAGGGGTCTGAAAATTGTTAATAGTATTTTTATTATTCATGGCAATATTCACATTAGGATTTTCACTAGAAAATTTATGTTGTAAAAGCTAGGATTCATGGCTCAAAAGTAATCCAAGAACATCACTAATATTGAGTTGATCTGCATCAGCTTGATTTGTGATGGTTGTAATAAGAGATTCATACTCACTTCCCAAACCAGATAAGACGTATAGAACCAGATATTCTTTTGCTACTAGTTCTGAAACTGCAGAAAGATTATCTGTGATGGTTTTGGCCTTCTAGATGTAGTCACTGATGGGGAGATTTCCTTTCTTTAGATTTTGAAGTTAGCACCTTAGTTGTAGCACCCTGGATCAAGAATGAGAGGAGAACGATCTTTCTAGAGCACTCCAAACTTTAGTAACAGTGGAAAGAACAATGACTTGTGCTAGAACTCCTTTAGTAAGAGAGGCAACTACTTGGGTGCACTCCAAACTGCACCCAAGTAGTGAAGTCTGGATTCAGAATCCACCTACTGTTGTCATTGGGATCTGATATTTCTGCTAGAGGAGGTTTGGCCGAACTATCAACTAGTCCCATGAGTTTGTGAACTTGAAGTACTAGAAGCAACTGAGCTTTCCAAAGAAGAAAATTATCGCCATTAAGTTTAATGGTGAGATAGTGAGAAATGTTTAGAATCGAACTAAGGTTCATGGATAGAGAAGCAGTTTGAAAGAGGGTTGAGTTCGAGCTCATTGCTTTAGAAGCAACAGAGGTATTGTAGGCCATAGGCTCTAATACCAAGTTAAAGTTTAAGAGAAGAAGGGTCAAATTTCACTATGATGAATAAYTGTACATGGCTGAATATTTATACAAAAATAATAAAGAATAAATTAGAAACAATTACAAGAATAGAAACAAAGAAATAAGGAAAGATCTTCAGTAGGAAACTTGCTAAGAAGAGAGTTTCCTTTTTGCTCTAATTGATCTCTCTTTGGTAAGAGTCCTCTATAGCTAGTATTTTTTTTGCCAAGAAGATTAGATCCTTCTTTGATAAGAGATCTAGGGCTCCCTTTGTTAAGAGTACGAGAGCTCTCTTTAGTAGGAAGACTGGAGCTTTCTTTGGTAAGAGTGGAAGAGCTAGGACTGGCCGACCTAGGGTTGGCCAGCTCTTCAATACTGAGCAAGTGGGGGGCCCATCCTTATTACCAAGGGAGGATGGGCAGATTCTAGAGGAATTAGGCAGATGCATGGGTTTGGAGACTGCAAATTGTGAGCCGACTAGAGAAGAGAGGACTGAGGCTTGGGTGATGAACAGTGTTAGGATAGCAAACATGTTAGGACTCTCGTTCCTGAGTGGAGAGTCCTGTGCGAGAGAGGCGTTTCAGTGTTTTCAAGAACAACTTGAGGAAGTAAGAGGATTGGAGCAGGCTAGATCGGATAAAGAGCCAAAGGAGGAATCTGCTTTCTTCTTGTTGATGAAGAGGAGGCTTTCAAGTTGGGGGATACCTTGGGAGCAGGAAGTTACGAGTTTTATGTTGACTACGCATTTAAGGTGGACAAAGAGTTGAGAGGGAAAAATCTTGCAGGCAGAGGCAGACGGGGAAGGGGTGGAGCTAGGACGTTGTTTCTCATGGTGGGTAAGGATGGCTTTGAGTTGGGTAGGAAAAGTGAGGAGGAAATCCCAAGTGTTTGAGTTGAATAGGTGTTAGAGAAAAGGTTTTTGTCTCGTTAGTGGGAGTTGGGATAGTGGTAAGTTTTGTATCTTTTAGAGGTCAAAGGTCTTGAGAGTTTTTTGAGCTTCTGTCTGGTTCTAGTATTGGGCTCCCTAGGCTGAAGGAGCGTATAGTTCTTTGTCTCTTTTTTGGGTCCCAATCTCGGGGGCCCAATTGTATCTCCTTCTATTCTCCCTCTTTTCAATTTTTAATAAAATTTTCTTTTCTTACGAAAACAAAAGTACAGAGTTTGGATCTCTTGCCCACAAGAATCCAACCCACCTTTACCCACATGACATCATAGTTGTACATTGTGAATATCTCCCATATTTATATGTTACCATTCATGGGAAGATGTTCCGAATGTACTGTAGTGTCATGTGGGTAAACGTGATAAGGATTCTTGTGGGCAGAAGATCTGGAGTCATAAGTACAGGGGCATAATTGAAGATTCTACAATTGATACATAATTATTGGGTAGGTGCAGAAATATGAAAAGTTGCATTAATTCAAAAAACTGTTAAGATTATGAGTTTTGGAAACTGCAATGTGGCTTCCAAAGCCAAGAGTTATGTCATCTGAAATGGTAATGATTTATAGTGTTAAATTAAATAAAAAAGAAAAGCAAAGAGGGGAGAGAAACAAAAAAAAGAGTCTAGGAACAAAGGTATCAATGAAGAAGGAAGAGTGTGTTGTCTCTTCTTTGGCTAAGTTGCTTAGTACTCTATAAAGGCCCATATAGGCCATAATGTTTTCAATATTCATCTCTTGTATTTGTTTCATTCTAAAATATTATAGTGAATTAATATGTTAAATTTGTATGATGTCTTTTCGTAGTCACCATATCTTTACAAATAATTATCTGTCTTATCCTATCTTTCTACTATACATATCTATACCTTATATTGTATACCATGTATAAATGAAAACAAAAGTAATCTCGAAAGATTAATTAGAACATAAGGTTTCTCATCATTATTGTTCAAGATATTTAAACAATCTTATTATTATAGAGTGATACTGCATTTGAGAAGCAGATTGCCCTTTTCGCTCTTGCAATTTCAGATGCCGTGATCGTTAACATGTAAGTTATTTGTTTAGAATTGACGAATCATCTGTAACTATCTTGTTGTTAAAACAAGTGATCTCGTAAAATTTCCAATGATATTAAAATTATACGTCATTATATTTTAGGTGGTGTCATGATGTTGGGCGTATACATGGTGCAAATACGCATCTTCTAACGATTGTATTCCAGGTTTTTCTTTTTGTTTCTTTTCTTTTCTTTTGTCTCTATATGAACCCCTTGTCCAAGTGACTACGCTAAATATTTTGATATTGAATTGTTATATTTTTTATGATGGTGTATGAAAATAGGTCATGATGCAGTTGTTTAGTGGAGAACTACATAAACGAACTATATTTTTTATTTTACGTGATAAGACCAAGGTATGTTCCCCAGTTCCTAATAATTTCCTTGAGATTCATGTAGTCTTGGTTATCTAAACTTTTTTTTTGTTTGTTTTTTTGCACAGACTCCATTGGATATGCTAAAAAAACAAGTGAATGATAATGTAGAAAAGGTAGTTTCTCTTTGTATTTATCAATCTTTATTGTAAGTGAGACTTGCCACCCATTGTCTTTGCCATTTCTCTAAATATGTTTTATCAATACAAATTACTCTAGCTGATTCAAGTTTTAACATATTATTAAAAGTTTTGTTAATATGTTTCCTTTGATATGGAAATTTTGTTTTCTATAAATGGACAGTAGTGTAGTACTAATATTTTCTCCTTTTCCAAGTTCCAATCTAATAGCCACCAGGGCGTTTTAAATGAAAAAAGTTGTAAGAGGGACAAACTCAAATCTCTTTTAAAAGACTTCAACCTCTCTTTATATTTCTCTTGTAATTATTGAGACTTCCCCTTCTCTATTTAAAATGAACTTAGACCACCGCTATTAGAGTTATATCTAACTGAATTATTCAAAAGTCGTTTTTTTGCCATTACTGATTCTTCAAATTTTCAAAACAAATTTGTCTTACCAAAAATCATGGTGGGCATTTGTCTTATTTTTCCTCATAACCAAATAATGTAGCATTTCTAAATACTATTAATGCACAATTTATGTTGCTAGATAAGAGAAATCAAAGTGGAGAATAAAAAATGAGTATAGTTGTCTCGATCAAATTCTAGTGGTTACGGTGAAATCCATGCCCACATTACTTGTCTCAGCTCTCTTAGCTACAAGCAAAATTTGTAATGTCCTTAACTTGCTTCATTATCAGATTCCCATGATTTATTTTGACCCTTTTCTTTTTTCTACTATGGATGCCTATCTATGATTTCGTCATCTGTAGAAATATGAGAACAAACATACACTAGGGAAACAAAGAAATGGAGATACATAGAGAAGACAATCCAATAAAAGCCAGTTACAAGGAAAGAAGTGTTTACATAGGTTTTGAAGAAAAAATATTGGAAAAGTCAAAAAGAAAAATTCCCTTGATTATATAGGAAGGCCTTCAAGCCATAGCCCCCCACCATTTAAACATATGGCAATCTGTTGGTTGTTCACATTTTCAAACAGACAACCCACTCCTCATATACATAAATTGTTTTTGACTATATTTAAAATTTTTAACTCAGACATGTGGCACTCTAAGTAGGGGTGTCAATTGGACTGGATTTGGTTCAATCTGGTTTAGTCCAATGTGAGTCCATTACAAATGGACCTGGTCCAATCCAGTCCAATGTATATTTTGGACCATTTTGGACAGGTCCAAAGACTGTCCAATCTGTTCAAATTCCTGTTAATTTAGATTAGTTTCAACTCAAACCTAGTCCATTGACACCTATGTTCTTATCTTTTATCAATGGACCAGATATTGGCTCAACCCAACATAAATTCATTATGGATGGGCTGGGTCCAATCCGAAATGTCATATTGGTCCGTCCAGTCCATCCAAATTCAATATGTCTTATTGGTCCGTCCAATCCGTCTATATGGATTTTGATTTGGACGGACTCCAACCCAAACCTGGTCCATTGACACCCCTAACTCTAAGACAGGTGCCATACATTTAATAATAGTTTTTTTAGAAATACATGAGAAGTAGGAGGCTCCCATTCTCATCCATTCCTAAAAAAATGCAGGAAATATAGAAATAGTTATCCACAACCACTTCTACCTACAACCATTAGTTAGTTTTATTTGAATTTCAAATATAAATATAATTATTAGACAAATAGTGAAACTCAAATAAAATAATATTACTGTAAAAAACAAAAACAAAGAGTACAAACCAAAATGATACATATGTGTGACTGCTCACATAGATAAAATACAGTAAGTCTCTTAAATCAAATAAAAATCTATCAAAACAACAAATGAAAAACCTAACCTAAATTTTTAATATAAATAATTTAAAAAGTTGAAAATTTAAAATAGTTGCCTCATACTGAGTACGGGAGTCATGCCTAGTTAAGATAGAAAGTTGTATAAGATTTAAACTTTCTTCAACTCCTCCATTTTAAACAAAGTTCAATCAACCAATGCTCCCCCAACTTCTTTTTCTTGTTCTTTTTATTCATCTTCCTCTGATCCTTTTTTATCACTTTCTCTTCTCCTCTCTCCCTTGGTCTCTATTACAATCGTTGAACATGGAACTTGATTGACTAAGGTCACATGTAAATAGATAGCTAGATGAGGGGAGGTCTTTGTCCCATGAATTGCCCAAAAGGGGATGCCTAACTCCATTTTGAAAAGACAGAAGGTTTTAATATTAAGGTGAAAGATCAAGGAAAGTTTAAGTCTTTTACCCAATATAAAATCTATAGGCCAATCTCCTAACTCGTCAAGTAATCCAATCAGTTTTAACATACTAAACACTATAGTGATTACACCAACATTAGATTTTCTAACAATTATTACATTGATTAATTACATAATTACTTTGTTTGCAGATTTGGGATTCTATTCAAAAACCAAAACTCCTTGAAGGAACACGATTGAATGAATATTTTGATGTATGATATCTCAAACTTTCTCAATTTATACATAGTTGCTCTTTCTTATTCACTACATAGATCTAGATGCATATGGGTTTTAATGTCAAACTTTATTTATTTATTTATTTTTTCTGGGGGCAGGTTCAAGTTGATGCCCTATCTAGTTATGAACGTGAAGAAGAGGAATTTAAAATTGAGGTATATTAGATATTGCATTAGAAAAGTTGCAAGTATGATTGGGATTTTGGGGACATTCATTTCACTAAGGTTCCATTCATTGATAATATTGAAGGTTTCTAGTTTAAAGAATAAAATCTTCCAATCTATAGCCAAGGATGGCTGCCAGTCTCGATATTTTGGGGTTGATGCTGCTACACTTTCAATAAGTGTGGAGCAAATGTGGAAAACTATTAAGGAGAACAAGGAGCTTGACATTCCTGCTCACAAGGTGATATTGATGCATAATCTTCTAGTGGAATTAGCCAATAAGAGATGTAGATTGTGCTTTGACATTTATATTGTTTGTCCTTTTAATTGTAGATTATGGTTTCTTCTTTACGTTGTGATCAGATTGTGAATGGAAAGTTTGAGTCTTTAAAGAATCAGGTATGCATGTTCATTATTTAAAACTTGTTTTTGTTTTATAGATTGTTACATAGATTGACAACATGGCATACCAATTAATATTCTTGAAATTATTGTAGGATTGGGTTAAATTACATAAGAATATAATAAGTCTAGATCCAAGCTTGTTCGGGGAGAAGCTCGTTACAATCCTTAATACAAGCCTATCGCAGTAAGTAATTTATCAAGTTTATACTATCGGAATCAAATAATTATCCTATTATTCATAATGATGTAATTCAATAGAAACTTAAACTTTTAAGCATGGTTCACATTACGTATAGCATTCATAAATATTTGTTTGCAAATTTTATGGTATAATTATGTTTTGTAATACTAGTGAAATCACTATAAGCTATGAATGTTGCAAACTGAGACTATAAATAAATGTTGTATACCATCTATTCAATATTTATACTTGAAGTATACAGTTTTCAGGGTGCACATATTAAATGTTCAAGATTTATTGTATTGTAATGCTGTTCTTGATGATTGAAATTTAATTCATTAATCAAAAGGATAGATCAGGTACAATATCCCTAAGAAAGGTGCGAGGTTGCAGCCTTTCTCAAAACAGAAAGGCTGCATTGTAGTGCTTTTGTGATATAGGTATTACAAACCACATTTTTTTTAAAGTATAATTGCTTATATTTGTCTCATAAACACATATAAGGAGTTTTTCTTCTTTTTTTTTATTTTTTGAAAATAAACCTCAAGCTTAATCTATTTAACAATAAAATAGAGTAATTACATATCGATGGATTCCTCAGATATAAGAGAGTTAATACAATGAGGAGGATATTTAGACTGGCTTACACATCTATTCAAGGATATAAGGAACTTTTAAAAAAGAAAGAATTCACAAAATGCAATTTGTACAATATGCTTAAAATGCAATTAATGTTATATATGTATATTTATAGACAAAACTACAAATATACTTTAATTCCATTCCTTCCTCAAGCAATATAGAACAAGGAATCTTTCCATACACTTAAGAGTAGGAAGAGAAAAAGTCAAACATAAGAGAGAGAGAAGAGAGATTTTTGAAAATTTGAATCTCCCTCCAACACCCTACCATCTAGAGATTCCACCATTTCAACAATGGGGATCACAACTTCTTGGCTTTTCTTCCTTCGAATTCTCCCTATAACTCTTCTTGTCATATCCCTCCAGATCATTGTATTGTTTTAGAATTTGTTTCTCTCTGCCCTGTTCTCTTTCTATCCTCCAACACACACAACATTTGTTTTATGTTATCACCAAATATTCCATGTTTGACTTTCATGCTTTTCCTCAATTCAACTTTAAACCTTTTTCCAGCTAGTCCCACTACACTTTTCCAACTCTGTTTTTTAATGGAGAATGTCATCCCATCCATGAAGCCCTTCAGCCATTCAATCACATCCTTAACTATGAAAATGGTGGCTCTCTTCTTCTCTGATATTTAACGTCCACTTACCATTGTTTCTACTTTCTTCGAAATAGAACTTCTTAGCTTCAATATCCACTTCTCTCCTCCATTTCACTGTTGATGAGAAACCTTCTTCATCCTCCATTTTCCACACTTGTAATTTTTCATGGATTGGTTCTACCAGTCACCTCAAAAGAAATCAGTACCCTGAAGTCAATCTACCTACTAACCTATACCAACATGTAGTAATACTATATTTTGCTTTATTCAAAATTCATTTACTAGGGGGCATTCCTTTTTTGGATTTTGAAAAGGGGAAAGTTGGTCAATTGGATTTTGGTTCGCATTGACCAAGAATCCCATGTTATTTTTTCAGAGTAATTTGGGGACCTGGGAAAGCTTATTTTCCTGGGTACCACTTATCCGGATAAGTGATATCCATCTCCTAAGTGGGTAAATAACTTTTTCACTTGAGGGGAAAGTTTCAAAAACTTGAATGGG